CTAATTCCATGCTCTTAAAACCGTGCGGAAAGGCTGCCCATCGCAAAAATCTCATGCCCATCATTATCCACAAAGATGGGAACGCACGAACCCAAACAATTCTTGCCGAGAATTCGTTTGAGTACGCAGCGGAGGAATTAATCCGACATTGGTTAAGATATACGAGAAACAAACAAGACAGAAGTCAGACTAAAAAAGCTTCAAAATCCATTAAGAATAGAGATTTTCCATGTCATTACAGCTATGAAAGGGTTTGCTTGCAATGAACTTTGCCTAATGCCCTTTGCCGATTTCAATATATTACATAAGAACAGTTCACAAGACACCAATCAAAGCTAAGAATCACTAGTTTATGCAAGTTTTCAGTTAACCTCACCAGTAGCTAATGCCATACTGTATTTGTATTTCAGATAAGCTTTGATGAAGGGCTCCAATTCACCATCCATCACGGAGACAATGTCTGATGTCTCATGTCCTGTCCGAACATCTTTCACTAGCTTGTATGGATGAAACACATAGTTCCTTATTTGCTGACCCCACTCGGCCTTTACGGCGTCTCCACGTATTTGCTTGATTTCGGATGCACGTTGCTCCTCGGCTATGACTAACAGCTTGGCTTTCAACCTGCTTAACGCCTTGATCTTGTTTGCTAGCTGTGATCTTTCCTCTGTATTATAGTTCAGAGAAAGATGAAATGCCATTAATTCAGAGATTTGTTCATAACTTATTAAGAAATATACAATCGAATTTGAGAAGAAATGTTTGATTCAATCAAAACTTGTCACCAGCCAGGTTGAATTATTAAAACCATGCAACATGGAAAAGTCTGAAAGGTTTGTTTGTCAAATTGAAACATAAATGGCCCACCCAGTATGAATGGTGGTTCCAGGTTGCCTACATCAATCTTAAACAGAAAGCTTCAAACATGCAGATTAAACTACTTAATCAATTGGCTCGATCAGTACTTAAAGTGGACGATTCTGCTATAAGTGATGATCGAGGACACGGTCCTACTAACCACTAAGAGAACAGACATCAAGTTGATATGGTGCCATAAACAAGGACAGTCAAATTAGGATAGAAAACCTGTGCAGCGAACCGTGACGCCCGTGGGGATATGAGTGATGCGTACAGCCGTTTCAACCTTGTTAACATTTTGACCTCCTTTTCCGCCTGCCCTTGAAAAACTTATTTCCAGGTCCTCTTCTGGTATTTCAACATCCATGGACTCATCAGGAAGGAGAGGCATGACTTCCACACCAGAAAAGCTCGTCTGCATAGATCTTATATTAAAACGGATAGGCTAAAGGGTCACTTAGTTTCACATGAACTATTAGTCAGCGTAATAATGATTCTGGATTCTAATTTTCAGTTCATGAAAAATTTAAAGCATAATAGCGTTAGGTCCCTTCAATTGTTCATCTTTTCTTAGTATCTCCAAGCACTAGCCATCTTCGGGTAGTGTTAAAATTACCTGTCGAAGTCCTTTAGAGTTAAACGGAGACTGTCGCACGATCCTGTGTGTTCCTTTCTCCCCGGATATATATCCGTAAGCATAACGACCTTCAATTTCAATTGTAGCTGATTTTATTCCGGCTTCCTCCCCAGCAGATTTCTCAACTACTCTTGTTTTGTATCTTTGCTTCTCTCCCCATCTCACATACATTCTCAGAAGCATGTCAGCCCAATCCTGCACTGGAGATTATCAAAAATTTAATATGGGGAAGGAATAAATTTGGTGAAAACGTTGCAGTTTAAAATGGAAGACCAGAATATAATTCTTAGAAGCCGTTTAGAAGACAAAACCAAAAAATACTTTGAAAACAGTTGCCAAGATGAGCAATTAACTACTTACCTGTGCATCAGTACCCCCAGCTCCAGCCGAGATTGTGATGACAGCACCTTCTTTGTCATACGGACCAGAAAGAAGTTGAGTTAATTCAAATTGATCCAGTGCCTTGTTTAGGTCTTTAATGATACTAGCAGCCTCTTCCAGAAGCCCAGTATCTACAGAGTCCATCTCTTCAGTCAGTTTAACTATCGTTTCTGCTTCTTCAACCTGAATCAATCATAATACAGCCCACATCTGAGGTGATGATTTCATTCACTTTTCAAAAGCTTGGTCACGCTATTGACCCAATGTTAAGGCTTAGTTTTAGTTTAATTTTCGTCAAATAGATTATTTCCAAGCATTACTATGACCATACGTAGAAAATTGGGGCCTTAAGATCTAATATTGCAATTCCAATTGATATACAGAGTAAGCCATAGCGACGATATACTTGGGCGAACCTTGATTTTAAGACAGCCCCCCCAACAAACACTTGCATTTATGATTGCAAACAAATGATATTGAAGTTGATCTTCATTTTATCTGTAAGCACATACAAGTGATGCCTACACGACATTAAAGATTTATTGTTTTTTCTGGATGAAAAAATGAAATTTAAGATTCGAGAACAAGTAGAAGATATCTTCAAAAAATATATTTAAATCTGTAGCAAGTTAAGCATGATTACCATATTTGCTTTAACTCAGAGGGTGATACGTGTATATTATTATGTATATTGACGTAGATATCTTAGATCCAAGACTTTATTAATCATTTGTCCTTCATCTAAAATTTACCCTCTTTCAGTTTTGGGCTCCCATATACGTCTTTATATGCGACTTTATCCAACGAATTAGAGTATTCCTAAAAATTAAATTCCATGTTCTATACATTACCTGTGTTTTGAAGTCAGTAAGCATCTTTATTTTATCTTTCACGTCAGTTAGGGCCATGAGAACTTGTTGAGCTTTAGATCTGTCATCCCAGAAAGAGTTCTCGGCTGCCTTCGACTCCAAATCTGCAACTTCTTGATCCAACTGTAACAAACCAGCAGAGTTTCTTATCTCTTCCACACGCTCGGAGGCTGTTTCCACTTCTTTCCTTAAGGAGTAAAAATCTGCCAGCAACAACAAGCATGCGTTATATCATTTTCATTGTGTCGCAAACACCACGGAATCAAAAAAGGATAAATGGGAACTAGATGCATCCAGTAATGCAACCGACGCATAAAATCAAAATTTGGGACAATAAACAGCTTGTTGGGTCTTAAAAATAGTATCAGTAAATATTTTAAGGATGTTATTTAGTAGTTGCCGGCTTACCAGAACAAAAAATAATAAAAAGGCTTAAGAAATTTGTCATTCAAGTGAAGATTCATATGGCAGACATTGACCACATTTGATGAATGTAATATAACTGGTAAGTCACTTATTCTTATGCCACCCTACCAAGATTTACCAATCATTCAAGAAACCATTGGCGCCTCATAGTGACCAAATTTTAATGCTCGTAGAAACCTGAAGATTGAAGTCAAAATATGGCACAGATATTTATTTGATCAATTGCCCACTAAGAACAACTACAATATATCAGTTTTATGAAAGCTTGAATCATTGAAAGAAGTAAAAAAGCGCATTATATCATATTAATGAAGCTATTATCATCTTCCACGACCTTAGCTGAACCAAGAATAACTGAAAAACATGAACACAACACAGGCAGTTCAATAATTAGAACAGAACATCAAAAACACAGTATTTTCAATCAAAGAAAAGTAACATACCTTGCATCGCCCATTCTTGCGTATCAGAATCGACCTCCTCACCCACCTGGCTCTCGGGCGTCGCAAATCGAACTGCTGAAAGAAGCCAATAAGTTACAGAAACTAGAATTCGTTGCCAATACAAGGAACCTCAACAATTTGTAAGAAGATAAACGAGACCAAAAGCATAGGAGGCGATCCAGAATAACCAGAATCAATTCAATGAAGAAAAAAAAAAAAACCACTAAAACAGAACTTGAATCATTGTGACAACGAGAAAGCACGACAAATTGAAAGAAATTGGGAATGAGATTAAAGGGGAGGAAATCTTCTAATCGACTCACCGAGAGAAGAACGAGAGTGAATAGAGAGAGAAGTGCGAAAGCGCGAAAGCGGATATTGTAGCGGGCTCGAAGTTCTAGTGGTTTGAAGTCTGGGAGGTGGGAAAACGGGGGAGGTGCAGAGCCACAATGGCCGCTGAACGACGTCCATGGCTTCCTCTTCGTTTCACTTCTGCAAAAACTCCTTCAGTAGATTACCCATACAATTTGGAGATAAAACCCCGCCTAGTCCACGTCATCAGGTCTCGTCTCTCTCTTCCATTTCTGCTCTATTTTTTAAATCTAAATTCATAAAAATTGTATTTTATCTAAAAAAAATACTCTAAAAATTCAAAAAAATATTATTGTTATTAATTTTGGATTAACTTTTATAATAGAACTTTAATTTTTTTTTTTTTTTTTTTTTTACTAATATCATTTTATTTTTTAAAAAATTCAAAAATACATATTATGTTTTTTTTTTAATAATTACTGTATATCGATTTTTCATATTTATTTTTGTAGCACGAATATGGAATATAAGTATCCAAACAATTAATTAAAAAATAAATAAAAAAACTGTGTCGTTTAATTAGGAATGTTCTTAAGACTAGAAAATACGACCAATATGAGCTGTCTAACCTAAACCATTAAAGTTTGATTATGTTCGAGTCAGTTCATGAATTGATTTTTTTTTTATCGGATCAACTTGACTATCCAAAAAATAGGGTTATAACTCAACCTAACCTGACACAACTCTTAAAATTATTATGAAAATTTAAAATATTTAGAGAAGGTTTTATATTTTAGTTTTATAAAATTTTAGTTTTTTTTTATAATTAAAAAAAACAACCGGCAGTAAAAAAAATAAGGTCGAAATTTACCTTCCCCCATGTTTTGCTCTCTACCAAGGCCTAATAAACATGAGAGGTCAAACTTTTATCCCCACGATTTTCTCTCTCTAGAAATCAACGCGGTTTTAATTTGACTAAAAAAAAAGAACTATTTATAACCATTTATTTATTTCCTTTTATTTTGTTTTTTTTTATAATAATTTTAATATTGAGGAAGAAATTAGATCCAATGTGGGAACGTTTTTCAATCCTTTGGAAACTAAAATTACTCTAAATCCACCGTAACACCAACCAGGAATTCTCTCTCTAAACTTCCAACCTTCTGATCCGCAGGAGGGAAATTGCTCGGCTGTAAGAAGCTCTCACCCTTCATACTCCGATTTGGAATTCTCGATCGAGTATTTTCGAGAAACGCATTGGATTTGTTGGTGTTGTACTGGACGCCGTGGATTGGAGGGAAATCTTGAGGGTTTTTTGGTTTTTTTTTTTGGTTTTTGTGAAGTCGTCTTGATCTCAATCTGGAAGTCATTGTCGGTAGGGGATTGGTTGATGCGAGTTTAGATTTCATGGTGGCGCTTGACCGCCATGGATGGTGGGGAGGCTGTGCTAGGGTTGTTGTTTTTGTTGTTGTTGAGTTGTCGTGGCCAACGATTACTATCTGAAGGAAGCTGCATAGAGGATGATGCAGCTTCACTTCTCGCCTAGCATGAGAAGCATCACGATCTCGACCAATAATGGCTTTATTGATTTCATGAAGATCAAGGTTGCAGCTCGCCATATCTCTTACCGAACCATTTTCCACACCTTCCTCCTCCTCGCATTTCTCTTGCCTTTTGTCTTTATCCTCACAGCCGTCGTTACCCTCGAAGGCGTCAATAAGTGCTCCTCGTTTGGTACTCTACTTCTCTATTACATTACGTTCTTGATCCTGTTTAAAACAAAATTTATACATTCTTTTGGTTTATTTGTATTCGAATCTATGATTCAGATCTTAATGACTGATTATCGATGGTTCTTCAAGCCTACGTGATTTGTTTATGTGATTAGGGATCTGATTTTTCCATTTCGGCGGATTTGTGATAGCTCTTCGTTTTCCGTATGGTTTTGTTTGTGAAAACATCTAGCGAACGCATTTCTAGATGTTTTTTAGTCTTAAGATCAAGACTATAGTAGATATAAGTGTATTTGAAATTATGTCTTCCAAGTTTCCTTTTCTTAATTTTCAATCGTTTTTCTTTTCCTGGATGCAAATGTACAACAATGCGCTGGAAAATCTTCATTTCCTTGATCTAGTGCGAAGCTCGATAGAAACTCAATTTAGGCATTCATGGAATTTTTTTTGGTTCCTAAACAAACACTTACAATCACTTTTTCTTCTTATCGCTGAAAATCTCGTTATTCTTTGTACATCTGGTCTGCGGATGGTCTGTGATTATTCTCATTTTCAATTGATAATTTTTAACTCTTAATGCTTCGTCTATGGTAGCTGGCTTCTCCTGTCCACCATCAATACTTAGTTTTTTTTTCTTCATTGGATTGATTGTGGATTCATATTAATGTTTTTCTTTCCTCTGTTTTCAGATTGTTTAGGCAGGCGGTTAGGACCACGGCTTCTTGGTAGGGTTGACGGTTCAGGGGTAAATAATTCCTTTCATAATTGAATGCAACAAATGTTTTGAATTTTATGTATGCTTCAGTCGGTTGTGTATGTTATTAACTTGAGATCTTTCCTCTTGGTCATGGTTAAATGTTGCTCCAGAAACTTGTCAGTGACTTTTACAAGATTCTCAATCAAGTTAAAACTGAAGAAATACCCGATGGGCTAAAGCTGCCAGATTCTTTCACTGAATTAATTTCAGAAATGCAGAGTAACCAATATGATACAAAGACCTTTGCTATAATGTTAAAGGCAATGGTATGTATTGTGCTACAAATTCATATGCATATTGTAGGAAAAAGTTTTTTGTTACTTTTTTTGCCCTCGCTGTGTTCTTTTTCTGCTGTAAATTTACTGTTATCCTATGAAACTATTACAACATTTCTATTTATTTAGGGTGGGCAACAGAGTAGAATGCTTTTCTCTTCCTCAGTTTACATCCATGAATAATATTGTTAACCTTTATGAAATGATGTAATTGGAATGTCAAAACCTGATAAGTGGTAGCTTTTTCTGCTGTTGGACATGGTTCCATGAATTTTTTCTTCAACGTGGATATGGATCAGTCTAATGCATTCCTGTTGAAGTAACTTCTTTATGGAGAATGTGTTTTTATAATATGATTGTAACCCTTGCCCATTTTTTAAGTGAAAATAAAATTTTCTTCTTGTCTTTCTTACCATGTTTAAATCTTTTTTTTTTGTACATATATGATCTGTCAGCATCACTCTAATGTGTATTTCATGCCTGAAATTGGAAATTTTTGTATAGTCAATGTCTTCACAAGACCATTTGTACATCCGTTCTCATTCACTAGATAATTCTTTCTTGTTTCCTCCAGCTAACTTCTTTTCCACAATGCTATATAAACTCACATTTTTTTAATGAATGTTTGTAGAACTTTGATTGCTTTGACTTTTGTTCCCGACTTCTCTTTCCTGGAGTGATTAGTGCTCATGTTTTATCTAGTTTTTGTTCTTTCTATGCATATATTTGATTCATAAGAGGTCCTTCCTGATTTCTTCTGAAAAAGAAAAAAGAAAGGAATAAAAAACTGCTTTGTCCTTCACATGCAGCTTAAAAAAAATTTCGGGGCAAGAAACAAACTTTTCATTTGGAAATATAAGGGCCATACAAACTCATGGAACTTAGTACTAAACAATAAGTTTAAGCTTGGTGTCGTATGATGAGTGTCGCAATTTTTAACTCATTCTTTTGTAATTTATTTATGATTATCCTCTTATGTTCAAATTCTCTAGTTATTCATGCTTTATTCCCATTATTTTAATTTTAATAACTGTTAAGATTTATAAAAAAAATATCGCCCGTTTAATGGGTAAGGTTCTAAATTTTCCATTGGAAGTTGCCAATAGGTTCGAACATCATCTTATTTTTTGTTCTGGATATATTTCAGCTTCAGATTTCTGATTGAAGCTGCAAACAAGGTGCTGCTTATCTAATATAATGCTTTTTATTCTGCGTAGATGGAGAAATTTGAAAAGGACATTAGAGAATCTAAGTTTGCAGAGTTGATGCACAAGCACTTTGCTGCTAGTTCCATTCCAAAAGGCATCCACTGCCTATCTCTTCGTTTAACCGATGAATATTCGTCCAATGCTCATGCACGCAAACAATTGCCTTCTCCAGAGTTACTTCCTTTACTCTCGGATAACTCATACCATCATTTTATTTTGTCAACCGACAACATTTTGGCTGCTTCTGTTGTTGTCAATTCTGCTGTGCGGTCTTCTCTCAGACCTGAAAAGATAGTATTTCATGTCATTACTGACAAGAAAACTTATTCTGGTATGCACTCATGGTTTGCGCTAAATTCTATTGCACCTGCAATTGTTGAAGTTAAAGGCGTGCATCAGTTTGATTGGTTAACAAGAGAAAACATCCCAGTGCTTGAAGCTGTAGAAAACCAGAATGGGATAAGAAGTTACTACCATGGAAACCACATTGTTGGTGCGAATCTCAGTGATACAACTCCACGGATATTTGCTTCAAAATTGCAGGCTAGAAGTCCAAAATATATATCCTTACTAAACCATCTTCGCATTTATTTACCAGAGGTAATAAGCTACATCCTAGTTTTGTTATGCCACTAAGATTAGTAATCTCTACTATGAATTTGTTCAACTGACAATTAGTTCTCTCTTCTTTTTCCCCATATAAACAATTAAAATCTGTAGCTGTGAATTGAAAAGGAATGCAAAACATGTTTAGGTTATATTATAGAAGTCCAGATAATATTATTTGCCTGCAATATGTAACTTTCATGTTTGAGGCTTAATTACTTTACATTCACTGTAAATTGCACAGCTCTTTCCAAACCTGGACAAAGTGGTCTTCTTAGATGATGATGTTGTGGTTCAGCGTGATTTGTCTCCCCTATGGGATATTGACCTTGAAGGAAAGGTAAATGGAGCTGTGGAAACTTGTAATGGTGATGATGAGTGGGTAATGTCAAAGCGGTTCCGCAACTACTTTAATTTCTCCCATCCAATTATAGAAAGGCATTTAAATCCTGATGAATGTGCCTGGGCCTATGGGATGAATGTCTTTGATCTTCATGCTTGGAGGAGGACAAATATTAGGGAACTTTACCACTCATGGCTGAGAAAGGTAAGTAATACATTGCCTTTCTTTTATGGAAGCAGTTTTCTTTTGTATGAAATCATCCTGTCACCCTCATTTACTTTTGGCTTCAATCTTCTGGACTAATTTTTAATTTTTTATATTGACTTAAGTGAGTGATGAAATGCGTGATGCTATTGAACTTAAGACTATTATGCAGTTTCTTTTATAGATTAGTTTTTCTCTTCGCAGTATGAGTATAATTATAACGAATAAGGATGCATCTTATCCATTTGTTTTGATGGTTGAGTTTTCTATTACAGAATCTGAGGTCAAACCTGACAATGTGGAAGCTGGGTACCCTACCCCCTGCTTTGATTGCTTTTAGAGGTCAAGTTCATCCAATTGATCCTTCATGGCACATGCTTGGCTTGGGCTATCAGGAACGGACGGATGTCGAAAATGTGAAGAATGCAGCAGTTATCCACTACAATGGGCAACTGAAGCCATGGTTGGAAATCGGCTTCGAGCATCTCCGTCCCTTCTGGACCAAGTATGTCAATTACTCCAATGATTTTATAAGAAACTGTCACATTGTGGAATCATAGACAATTGTCATAGAACTAACATCAGAAAGGAGATAAAAAAAAACCAAAAAAAAAAAAAAGGTGATGAAAGAAAGATTTGGAGGGGGTCTGAACAAAACATTTTAAAAGCTCAGCAGAAGAAGGCAAGCTTAATCAAATTGGTTGGACAGATGAGAAACATTCTCCTTGTTCAGAACTTGCCACCAATTGTTTTTACTACTATGGAGCGGTAACGATGATGGGCACTCGTCTCACATCAGATTCATTCTTTCAGTTTGTAGCAATAGAAATTCTTCCTTTTTTTGTTTTTAAATATTTTTTGGATTGCAAAAAGGGTACTGTTGTTCGATGTTCCTGCAGGGGTTTGAGTTTAATTCTCCTGGTTATTACAACTAAGTGCAATAGAGAAGAGGATATGAAATAGGGTATTGATTGATGCCATTAGGTGCACAGAAGGCCTAGGACAGACAGCCCTACAGACAACATTTTTCCTGCCAGTTGCTTTTAATTTCTGCCGTTCATCTGAGATTATTACCCCATGATATAGCCATTTTTTAGAAGTAGGTTTATGGACAATATTTGCTCCTACGAGTCCCATTCAATTGGGTTTTTCTTTTCCCCTTTCTTCTTTTTAGGTTCATATCTCTATTCGTTTTGTAATATTCACGATATACATTCCAAAATATGTGCAGAAAATTCATTTTTCCCCTCTTTTTTTGAGACTCATTACTAGAAGTCCTATAATTTCTCATGTTTGTCCTTCTATTTTACTCCTTTGTATTTAATTGCTTTTCTTTTATCTCATGGTGTCATGTAGACATTGATTATTGACTTAACCATTAATAATTATAATTGTTTAGTTTTGTGGAATCAAAAGAGTGAATTTATGAATTAGTGTTCTATCCAAAGTTAGTGTTAAATAATCTAATCAACATCAATATTTAAGGTTTGTTAGTTAATTTAATTTTTCATTCTTTTGGTTTTGGATCACTAAGACCGACTTTCGTCCTTGCTTAAGATGGGTGGGTCTTGTAGTCAAGCTCTCTTCTGTCTTTGCACTTGAGGGCCAATTTCCGAGCAAACCTTTGCACACCTCTATTACCTTTTGGGAGGCTTATGTCCCATAGAATTTGTCTACTTGAGACTATCCTTTGGCTCGTGGGTTATGACACAAGTTAGATTTCTAGCTTTTCCGAGGACCTTCTTCACCCTCCACCTAAGTTGCGCAGGATTGACGGCCAATCCCAGGTAAGAGTAAAATAATAAAAGAACTTTATGCAAAAAAAAAAATATTATTTATGAGGTAAATTAAAAAAAAAATGGAGGCCTAATAATTAATGGTTGAAAATTTAGTTGGATTTTTTATTAAAAGATTAAATGTTTGAATTTATTGGGTTAAAATTTAAGAAAAGAAAAAAAGAAAAACAAATTGAGATTTCAAAATTTGAAAGGACCAAAATTAAGCAACTAATTTCTATAATTTAATATTTTCAAAATTTGGGTTAAAAATTGCAAATAATATTTTCTTCCTCTCGAACCATATCCACATGGGTTTGTTTGCCACGTGGCGGTTTCTCAAAACGAAGGCCCGCAATTTCTTTTTTTGTTCAAAGCAACGTCGTGGCATTTTTCATTTCTAGGATCTTCAAATGCGTTTTCGCGAGGGTTCCCGAAGAATCACCACCATTGCCCGACTCCTCCTCTTATACGCTTCTACTCCGACTCTCCACTTCGGTTAACAAGAATAATTCTCTCTAAATTCCATTTTCCAATATTCTATTTCCGATTCTTTCTCTTCCACTTCCACTTCCACTTCAATCCATTGCCCACTGAGTTTGCTCGCTGTTGAGGCTAATCTTTACCAATGGCTTCCACCACTGCGCCATTTTATGCACTTGGGATTCGTTTTCCTTCACATTCCTCTTCCATTTCTTCTTCCACTAGAAACGCGCTCATTCTCAAGCCTCCGCTTCCCGTTTCCCTCACTGCGAAACCTAAATCGCGCTTGCTGTTGAATACCAGTGGTGGGTGTCACAGATTTGGGGGGAATTCGAGGTTTGTTGTTCGCTGTGATGCCTCAAATGGAAGGGTTAGTTCTTTTGTTTTCTTTGTTTGTTATTGCTATTACTCATTTCTTGAAGTTCGATTTGATTATCTTTGACTTCCACTTGTGGCGTTTAAATGGTTTGAACTTGTACTGATATCTGAATTCGAGGATGTAGTTTATGCATTTTACTGATTTTGTTTAGTTTTACTTCAGATTACACAGCAAGAATTTACAGAAATGGCTTGGCAAGCTATTGTTTCTTCGCCAGAAATAGCAAAGGAAAACAAGCATCAAATTGTGGAGACTGAGCATCTGATGAAGACTCTACTGGAGCAGAAGAATGGGTTGGCTCGTCGGATATTTTCTAAGATTGGGGTTGACAATACCCGTCTTTTGGAGGCTACTGATCAATTCATCAAACGCCAACCTAAGGTAATTGCATCATGGAATCAAATTCTTATATGTGTATATGTATATTACCATTAGTCTTGGGCCTTTATGAACTTCTAACTTTTGGCTGTGAATTTTAGTTGTTATATCCTAAAATATGTTAAACGAGTCTCTATTATACTGCACTAGGTTCTTGGTGAGTCAGCTGGTTCAATGTTGGGACGTGACTTGGAAGCACTGATCCAACGAGCCAGAGAATTCAAGAAAGAGTATGGGGACTCATTTGTGTCTGTTGAGCACTTGGTTCTTGGATTCGTTCAAGATCAACGTTTTGGGAAGCAATTGTTTAAGGATTTCCAAATATCATTGCCAACTTTGAAATCTGCAATCGAGTCCGTTAGGGGGCGCCAATCTGTTATTGACCAAGGTGACACCTTCTCTCTCTCTCTTTTAATGTATTTTGAATACTTTTATGTGGTTATGTTGCGGCACAAGTCAAATCTCTAGGCAATTTGTTGGACCTGATGTTTGATTTTGATTGTGTTCTGTCTACATGCAACTATGTAAACCAATCCTCAATAATGTGCCATGAGGAAAACATCAAAAAATTGGTTGATGATTCTAGCTTATTAAAGCAATCAGTGAAGGAAAATGGATGGAGATGAGGGACATTTTGTCCTCCAGCAATTAACATACATTAGAGCTTATAGAAAATTAAACCACCTTGGTGTGATTTTATTTTGGTTGAATGCGTACTTGTTCTTTTTGTCTTGTTTGAATGTATACAGTGGCAAATTCGATAATATATGCTTCTCTATATCCGTTTCTCGTTCATAATGTCGGTAGCATGTGCAGTTTGAAGTGTGTATTCCATTTTTTAAGTAATCGTGATCTCTTGCAGACCCTGAAGGCAAGTATGAATCTCTTGAAAAATATGGAAAAGATCTGACAGCATTGGCTAAAGCTGGGAAGCTTGACCCTGTCATTGGAAGAGATGATGAAATTAGAAGGTGCATTCAGATTCTATCTAGAAGAACAAAGAACAATCCTGTGCTTATTGGTGAACCTGGTGTTGGGAAAACTGCTATTTCTGAAGGGTAAGTGCAGTATTTGGCCCTGTACAGAATTCTTTTTAATAATTAAGGCACTGTAAGATCCTGGCTTAGCCCTTTGGGAATATTATCTGCATGAAGGCAACCACCGACTTGTTAGCATTGTTTTGATTTGTACTTGAGTATGGATCAAACGGGAAGACGTCAATACTGTTGAGAAGGCTAGACTTCTCATTTCCTGGTTGATATCGAAATGGGAATTGTGCTGCTTTAATTTTCTCCGTAGAGAATTTTTGTTAGCGTATGCTTTTGCTTGGAAAGTGGTTTGGCTTATATTCCTAACGACTCTAGTACTTGTATACTATTTTATTAAACAGGCTCGCTCAAAGAATTGTTCAAGGTGATGTACCTCAAGCTTTGATGAATAGGCGGGTATGTAAATGACTTTTTCCTGCTCTCTCTGTCTCTCTCACAAATTTCTCCTTGATAAAAGATGCTGGTGGCCCTTTCATGGTTTTGTGATTACTTCTGTTCCTCCATCCCCTTTTGGGAGGTGTTTTAGGATTCACAGTTTACCACAGTCTTAATAACTTGCTCTTTTCTTGTAGTTAATATCACTTGACATGGGTGCTCTAATTGCTGGAGCAAAATATCGTGGAGAATTTGAGGATAGGCTCAAGGCTGTTCTGAAGGAAGTTACAGAATCAGATGGCCAGATTATCTTATTTATTGACGAAATTCACACTGTTGTTGGAGCAGGTAGCATATCCAATCTTAAATTTGGAAAACTGTAGCCTATTGTCACTGGCACATGTTCTTGGCGGTGGCTTCCCAATATGGTGGAAACTCTTGTTTGACTGATGAGCGCATTGGTCTTTTACCTTAATAAGTTACTGGTGTCTCCACAGGTGCTACAAACGGTGCAATGGACGCTGGTAATCTATTGAAGCCTATGCTTGGTAGGGGTGAGCTTCGGTGTATCGGTGCCACAACATTGGATGAGTATCGAAAGTACATCGAAAAGGATCCAGCATTGGAGCGTCGGTTTCAGCAAGTTTATGTTGATCAGCCAAGTGTGGAAAATACCATTTCTATCCTCCGTGGGCTTCGTGAAAGATACGAGCTGCATCATGGAGTTCGCATATCTGACAGTGCTCTTGTAGAAGCTGCAATTCTTTCAGACCGTTATATTAGTGGACGATTTCTGCCCGACAAAGGTAAATATCATTGTGACGATTGGAATTATTTGATGTAGTTGAAAATAGACATAGCTCTATTGTAAAGAAAAACTTTTAGCGGAAGGATTTTGGAATATGCATGTCATGATGGTTGCTAATGGTAATTTTTTTGAATACAGCCATTGACCTCGTTGATGAAGCTGCTGCTAAGCTGAAAATGGAAATTACTTCAAAACCTACTGCTCTTGATGAGATCAATAGAGCAGTACTGAAGCTCGAAATGGAGAGACTTTCTCTAACAAACGATACGGACAGAGCTTCTAGAGATAGGTTGAGTCGGCTTGAAGCTGAGTTGTCTCTCCTAAAGGAGAAACAAGCCCAACTGACTGAGCAGTGGGAGCACGAAAAGTCGGTCATGACTCGCCTTCAGTCTATCAAAGAGGAGGTATGTTGGTGTTCTTCTTCCCTTTCTGTTACAGAAATCTTTTACACATTCAACTATTTAGTCTGTTGTGATGGTGTTGTTGGAAGAATATAACTTTTGATGTTTCAAGAGGTAATATAATCTGGCCTAAACTAGAAGTAGAGTAGAATTTTTCGGTTCGGATTGTTATCTGCTCGGTAATTTTACTTTCATTCTTGCAGATCGACCGGGTAAATGTGGAGATCCAGCAAGCTGAAAGGGAGTATGATCTTAACAGAGCGGCTGAATTGAAATATGGAAGCTTAAATTCCTTGCAGCGCCAGCTTGCAGATGCAGAAAAGGAATTAGATGAGTATATGAATTCTGGAAAGTCCATGTTGAGAGAAGAAGTGACTGGAAGTGATATTGCTGAAATTGTAAGCAAGTGGACTGGGATCCCTGTTTCTAAGCTTCAACAATCCGAGAGGGAGAAGCTTTTACATTTGGAGGAAGAACTTCATAAACGTGTGGTGGGTCAAGACCCAGCAGTTAAATCCGTTGCCGAAGCCATTCAAAGGTCTCGGGCTGGTCTCTCTGATCCAAACCGTCCGATTGCTAGTTTCATGTTCATGGGTCCGACTGGTGTTGGAAAAACAGAACTAGCCAAGGCTCTTGCTTCTTATTTATTCAACACTGAAGAAGCCCTCGTGCGAATCGATATGAGCGAGTACATGGAGAAGCACGCAGTTTCAAGACTAATTGGAGCCCCACCTGGTTATGTAGGTTATGAGGAGGGTGGTCAGTTAACCGAGACTGTTCGCCGAAGGCCTTATGCGGTTATTCTGTTCGATGAGATAGAGAAGGCTCATTCTGATGTGTTCAATGTGTTCCTTCAGATTCTGGACGATGGGCGAGTAACCGACTCACAAGGGCGAACTGTGAGCTTTACGAACACAGTTATCATCATGACTTCAAATGTGGGTTCACAGTATATTCTCAATACTGAAGATGATACACAACCAAAGGAAACAGCATATGAAACCATAAAGCGACGAGTTCTGGAAGCTGCAAGATCAATCTTTCGTCCCGAGTTCATGAACAGAGTTGATGAATACATCGTTTTCCAACCTCTAGCTCGCGATCAGCTCAACAGTATTGTTCGGTTACAGGTACCCTTTATACCTCTTTGAATGTTCAATACTCCTTTCGTAACCGTAACTCAAAATTCTCATGAATTAACCACACATTGTACGTTCTTACACAGCTGCAACGGGTTCAAAAGAGAGTTGCAGACAAGAAGATGAAGATCGAGGTGAGCGAAGCAGCAATTCTACTTCTTGGAAGTCTCGGGTACGACCCGAACTACGGTGCTAGACCAGTGAAGCGCGTAATACAGCAGAACGTGGAGAACGAAATCGCAAAGGGCATATTGAGAGGAGAATTCAAGGAGGAAGACACAATTGTAATAGACACAGAGGTATCGGCATTCTCTAATGGCCAACTTCCACAGCAAAAGCTTGTTTTTAGGAGAGTGGAGAACAAAGCCGCCGACAATCCAAACGCAGATGGCATAGAAGCCTCTGCTCAGATTCTATGAACCAAAGGCCGCTTTGTATTTACACACTTCCTATGTAGGGAATATACATAGCAAGATTAATGTTTTTTTACCCTTTTTTTTTCACTCTATAAAGTTCACATGAGGTAATAATACCATGTAATTTGGGGCTGGTTTTACCTTAGGCCTTATATTTAACTGTCCAAGTTTGGCCTGCATGGTTATTATTATTATTTTTTTTTTTTAAAAAAAACCATTATTTTATTAAGATTTTTATTTATTGAATTTTGAAAATAATTTATAATGTAGATAACAAAAAGAAGTATTTTTTATTTTATTTTTAATTTTTACAATTACTATTTAAGGAAAAATAAAGAAGAAAAGAAAGGGAAAAGAGATCACACATTGAGTGAGTCCATTAGCTTGTCGTTTTCGGAAAGTGACCATCCAATTACCAGAATGCCACGTAAGACGGATAGAAATTTACATTTTCACAGCGTCCCAGCCATGGTTACACGTGGAGGTTTTTGATTGGTCATTAAGTTTCCAATTGACTTAGCACTGTGGTTCTAAAATATTCCTCAGCCCTCGTCCTTTCCTTCTTCTCTAATTTAGACCCCAAAGCCAAAGCCTCTTCTTCTTCTTCTTCTTCTTCTTCTTCCTCTTCTTCTTCTTCTTCTTCTTCTTCTTCTTCTTCTTCTTCTTCTTCTTCACCAAATCCCCCGTTCTATGTGAGCTTCAAATTCCCCTTTTCTTCTTCTTAATGCTCGTCTTCATTTTCTTCTTTTCCTCTTCTTGTTTATCTTTTTTCTTTGTTCGGCTTTAGTGCAATGGGAACGAAATTGACTGATTTCTTGCTTCGTTTCTTGCATGCAGAGTCGGGTTTTTGGTGCTATGTTAACGCGGGGAGACTAGGTCCGTTCCGCTGAGGTGAGTCTTTTTCTTTTTTAAAGACGATCTACTTTGTTATCTGGTGTTGTGCGTTCGTTCTTCTTAAGGATTTTGTAGGGTTTTATTTATTATTATTTTTTGAAATTGAATGAGTAATTCTTTTGGGGTTTATTTGATTTAGGTGGTTGTTTTTTGTGATGTATGTGGCCGAGGATTTTGTGGATCTGACTCTAATTTACTAAACTTGCTTGAAGAATTCTGCTAGAGAGTTTGGGGTTTATGTGTGAATTGAGTATTTGTGCGTGCCTTGGAGTCTATGGTGAATGCTAATCCATTTCTTTGTGTTTAAATTTACTTGTTCTTCTTGAATTGACTTGATTGATTAATCACTTCGATGTTTCGAGTCTCTGGTATTGGTTTTAGTTTCTTAACCATTGCTCGAGACATCATGGGTGTCTAAGGCTTGTTCGATGTATACAGTGTACAATAGTTCATTGGTGTGAAGATTGTTGATCGGAGCTTAGTTTTTCAACAGCTGCTCATTCAATCTTCTAATCTATTGACAACCCATGCCAGATTAATTAATGGTTCCCAGATGCCCATGAAGGAATGATTTTAACAAAGCAATACCGGTGTGTGCATTCAGCGAGCTGCCTGTGCACAAAGGGGCATCTCAGTGAGGATGCAGTATTTCTAGTATTCCAACATTTGAACTGGAATCCGAAGTTGATTGCCATTCTTTCCTGTGCATGCAAATGGTTTGACGATCTTGCCAAGCGAGTGCTATGGAAGGAGTTTTGCAGGACCAGAGCCCCAAAAATGATGCTAGATCTGCAATCTAGCGGGAGTCACAGTGTTGATGGGAACTGGAGGGCACTGGGGAAGCTGCTTATTTTCTGCTCGGGATGTAAGAAGGGCGGTCTCTTCAATAACATTCAAATTCCTGGTCATTTTGTTTATAGAACCCGATTTTCTAGGACATCGGGCAAGAGTTTTCTTATGCCACAATGCAGAACAGATATTTTATATGTATCTGATCCTTGTGAACATCTCGACCAAGGAGAAGAAGGAGATATCGGTTTCTTCCGGGGTATTTTTAAGTCATTTTCAATGTCAAAGGTTAGGAAAATGCTGATAGAAAGAGGAGCAGAGCTTCATCCAACTGAGGTGTGCCCTTATTGTAAGGCCAAGCTATGGAGCATGCTACAGGCTAAAATGATACCACCGAGTGCAAGCTGCAGATTGGGTGCTTATGAGGATTGCATCGACTACTATGTCTGCCTCAATGGACATATGGTCGGTATTTGCACTCTGTTACCCTTGTCAGATTCTGAAGAGACGTCCGAGTGATAGCTACGTCATACACCATAGAAAAGGTAACATACCACATCTAACTTATGCGTGTTTCTCTGTAGAATCTGGTATAGATTTGAAAGTTGAGCAACCAAAGCACTAAGTTTTTGAGTCAAATACTTATTGTTTAAATTTTCCCTTTGTTTTTCCATCTGCAACCATGCTGAAGCAAATGTTGTGATGGTCATTATGAATTGAATCCCAATTCCCAACCGACAACCTGATTTTCTAGTGGCAAAACTAACTCTCTGTCACCTCCTATTGGTTTCCGTTGGAGGAACTTGGAAATATTATCTGGTCAGGGGAATGGTTTCTTTAACAAGCCTGCGGTGTCTTTTATGTACACCAGAGGAAGAAAGGATCATAGGAGGGGCGCTTTATAGTGTAAGTGAGGGGAAGGGCCTGTTGTGACAGTTTGTTTTGCTGCAACTTGGAAGAAAAATTTACTTTGATGGGATCATTCAATTGGACTAATTATTTTTTTGCTTTTTTTGTTCTCTGAGTCCATAACTTTTTTTGGGAGCTAGTGTATCTGAGAGCCATTGTTCTTGAACAGGTCGATAAAAAGGCCTGCACAATCGCCCTTGGATCTCATGCTGATTGGATGAACTTTGCCTCTAGTCCGTTCCACTTTTGTTTGGTGGAACCCAGCTTAGAATTATGGGAAAATGTTCAATGGTGAGACTTAGAAGCATTAGCAGAACCAGATTTTTTGTAAAAAAAAAAAACATCCTTTTGGATTGAAAGGTAGAACCATATAATTTTCATGTAAATTAACCTCTGATCTTATACTTGATATTGGTGATGGTGACTGGAATGATTATTATTTAAGATAATGGATTGCTTTATATGTTCTGAACTCTTAGAAATCTCCTTGTGAAATGGATATGACCTTAGCTGAAGCTTCCATCCTTGACACTTGATCATCCCCTTCACACACTTCAATTGAATTACTTGCTTGCAATGTCTGTAAACTTGTTAGGCACAAGTCTTCGATGGTTCCATCACTCTCCTTGTTGCTCCTCTGATGCTCATTGGCCCAATGTTAGCTTCCGGCACGCTTGAAAACTGTTCTATGGAAGTTTTACCTCTGATGCTCAGCTGAGAGGACAGGAGCAAAAGGGGGCAAGCAAATCCTTCCTCTAGTTATGGAAGTTGCTTGAACATATTGCTCTTGTTTGCTTGAAGTTGCTTGAACGTATAAGCGTCAATGGTAGAATTTATGTTTCCCGTCGTGTCATTTTCAATTAAAAATGTTTCCCTTTCGAATCTACCAAGAACCAAGGGGTCTCAATCATACCATAGGATATCCATTTTGTGTAAGGAATCCTCCTTGTTTGAATAGAGCTTCAAATTCAGTGTGATTAAAAGCCTTAGATATTGTGTTATTTACCAGCGCAAGAATCGCAGAGAATTACCCAACTGTTATGATGTCAGCTATGCGTGATGATTTTCTATGGGCTAAATAGAGATGATGTAAGAAGACCAAAGGGACCATTGGAGAGGGTTTTCTTTTTCTTCCCATTTTTGCACCAGAGAAGGAATTCTTACAGAGTTTACTACAGCAATCTCTGGTGAGAAGAAGAGAATGGCAGGTGAGAAGCAGAGAATGGCATTGTTTCGTTTCCAGCCCATAAAGTTGTTCAGCAGAACAGAAGAAGATTATCCAAAAATTGAGTCAAGCATGCATTCTCAACCAATTAAAAACAGGTGCAAAAAGACGTATGAAAATGACCATTTGCCAACAGTTGGATGTGGTCTAGTTTTAGCCAAAAACTTGCGACCAAACAAAACATCTAAGTTGTGATATGCAATAAACCAGTTTTGGTTCGGTTCGATTTCGTTTTACCGAGCAGCAACCAAAGACACTGATGAGAGCAAGAGAAAGAGGTTGGCGGTGGTATATGTAAATAAGAAACTAAACATCTAAATTGAATAGAGAAGGATGAACCAACAAAATCAAGGTCGAACATCTTTCAACACTCAATGACATGGTACATGAAGTCATAACTATTCTTAGTTTTATTCTCACAAGACCAACCAGGCTTAGCTTTATATCATATGGTAGTTTCTCTGTAAAGGGGCAGTACCCGAAAAAAAGAGAAAAAAGAAAAAAAAACAAGAAACAGATGCATAAAGCACACAAGTTATTAATGCACAGTTTGACTCACAATCCTGTGATTTCACCACCTTCTGTTCATTCCCAGATGTATTCTTCCATCACTATACAAATTCTACTGAATTATACGAAATCTACCTTTTCAGTTCAAGCTGTGGCTCTTAGAGAAGTAGGCTTCTTGTCTTGGAGTGAGATAACCTTTTCAAATGCCCCTACCAATGCCTTGACCTTACTCTTTCGGGTACGAACGAGTTTTCTCGCAGTTTCCGCTATGACATTATTGAACAAAACCTGAGTATCTTTCTTCCCTTCCACATCTTGATGTCTCAAAACTACTTTTTCAGATGGTGGTGTGGAATTCTTGGAAATCCCCTTGACTATTCCCTTCTTCAAGCTTGTTCTTCGGCCATCCTTGCTCTTTTGGTTGTCCCCCAACGATTTTCCTTCCATAAATTTGAGCCTCGTTGGACCATGACTTTTGGAATCGAGGTCAATTACCTTCTTGTTCCTGAAACTTAAGCTGAAAGATGAAGAATCCTTTCCTTTGGTCTGAAGCATTCTCGGGGACTTGCCTTTTTTAACCCCATTGAGGTCATCTTCTTTTTTTATGCCACCATGTTTCTTCGATCCTGAAACAGTGGCATTCGCTTCGTATTTTGTATATTTAGTTCCACCAGAATCTTCTCTAAGAGGTGAAAGAGATGGGCCATTTGTCAAGGATGATGGTGACTTTTGATACCCCTTCAAACCATGCTTGTCATTTTGGTCAGATTCTACAAGCTTGTTCTTCTTAGTTTCCACATTGATGACATGCAAGATTTTCTCTTGTGATTCCACACTTGATGCTTCCTTGGCTTGAATTCTTCTCGTTTTGTTCTGACTTTTGACTTGAGACACAGCTTTCGAGTTCTTCTTTATCGCAGGTAAGTTTACCACGGTATCGACAGAATTTGGATCCATTGTGATTATGGACTTCTCCACCACTTTCATTCCATTTCCTTTCAAGGTTCCCGCTCCTTCACCTGATTTAGAACTGTTGTTACTGTGGGCTGCAATATTACCAGAAGAACCAGAAGAGATCACTGATTTTTCTTTGAAAGCTTTCGGCTTCAACAAACTGTCGCCCCCTGCTTCTGCAACGCTGGTCAAAGCTTGTTTTGGAGAACTTTCAGATTTGGTAGACGAATAAACTACTTGCTTTGTAGTTTTATGAAACTTGGGTTTTGAGGTTATGGGCTTAGTTTTTGTCTTGGCCACCAGTTCCTTACCTTCATTCATAGCTTCACTCTTTAATGGACTTCGCCTGTTTGACCCTTGCCTCCTAAGAGAACTTTCAGCCACTACTACCGGTTCCTTACTTTCGCTTCCAACTCCAATCTCTACTCGACTTCGCCTGCTAGGAAAAGTTTCAGGCACTACCCGTTCCATATTTTTGCTCGTAGCTTCAATCTCTACTGAGCTGTGCCTGCTAGTAGAATTTTCAGGCACTACTCGTTCGCTACTTTCACTCGAAACTTCCATCTCTACTGGACTTTGCCTGGTAGGAGAGTTCACAGGCACTACCAGTTCCTTACTTTCACTTATAACTTCAATCTGCCTGGTAGGAGAATTCAAAGGCACTACCAGTTCCTTACTTCCACTTATAACTTCAATCTGCCTGGTAGGAGAATTCAAAGGCATTACCAGTTCCTTACTTTCACTTATAACTTCAATCTGCCTGGTAGGAGAATTCACAGGCACTATCAGTTCCTTACTTTCACTTATGACTTCAATCCGCTTGGTAGGAGAATTCACAGGCAACACCACTTCATTACTTTCACTTATAACTTCAATCTTCTTGGTAGGAGAATTCATAGGCACTACCAGTTCCTTATTTTCACTTATAACTTCAATCTGCTTGGTAGGAGAACCCACAGGCGCCTCCGGTTCCTTACTTTCGCTCGTAACTTCAGTCTCACTTTGCCCATTAGGAGCTTTTACAAGCGTTACCTGTTGCTTACTTTTGCTCGTAACTTCAGTCTCACTTTGCCCGTTAGGAGCTTTTACAAGCGTTGCCTGTTCCTTACTTTTGCTCGTAACTTCAGTCTCACTTTGCCCGTTAGGAGCTTTTACAAGCGTTGCCTGTTCCTTACTTTTGCTCATAACTCCAGTCTCTACCAGACGTCTGCTAGGAGAACTTATGGGCACTACCCGTTTAATCACATCAGTGCCACCACTAATACATGTCTTCGAACTAGGTGAAACCTTCGACTTGGTCACACAAACAGAGTGCTTTTTTTCAGGCACAACCACAGCCTGGTCTGAATTTTGGGCATCAAGTGCCTTTTTCATTGCTCTTTTCAACAGGGGAACTCTGGCCTTCGTCTCTAATGAATGATTATGTCCATATTTGCAAATATCATGACAAGAACCAATTGAGGATCTGCGGTCACGAAAACTGTTTTGTTCATCAATACTCAATGAGATTGCTTTTCCCATAGATAATCTTCTCAACCTATCACCATCAGACCTGTGGGTCTCAGGGGACATTGACAAATCCATACTCCCATCAACCATTTAACAGCACAATTTGAGAGCACTACCTGAAGATCAAACAAAAAGAAAAACTCAATAAATTCAAGAGCTTACAAGCAAGTTTGTAGATGCTAAGTGAACCAACAAAAAATCAAAGAAAATACTCTCTACCTTTCTAATGAAAATCACATTGATTTTACAAGCTAATTAGACTTCTTACATGAATGAGAATTTTACAGAAACAAGGAGGATAAAGATCACATCTCTATGATTGTTCTATAAAGTGTATCGACTTTGAAATCTTCCACAATAAGGTCAATCAAACATGGAGTCTTTTCAAAAAGAAAAAAATATCGACTTAGTTTCATAAATGCTTAGCAAATCGACTACTTGAAGATGAGCGTAGATCCAAAAAGAAAGTTTATCAAACATGATTAAAATATATGGAAACCACAACATCCACGAAGATTAATGAAAATTAAAGTATTGATTTCCCAAACATCTAGACAATGATATGTTTTTGCTTGATGGTCCACTAATAAATGCCAGATTTGGACCAAAACATATCACTTTAATGGAACATTGGAGTAGAGCTGCTGAAGGGAGACATTGTGCATGGTATTATGATGGTGAAGGATGAGACCAAGGACTTCTCAAACACTCATAAGCAGTCATTAGATGCAAATCAACTGGACGTAATGGATTATAGTATTGTGATGAACAAATCAAGTGCTTCTCTCTAAAAAAGTACTTTAAACTTGAAAAGCGCTTTTAATAGTTAAAAGCACCGTTTGTCACCTGCAGGTAAAAATGAAATGATGATTCTATACAGTTTTTCCTGAATGAAGATCAAAGAAGAAACACAGCAAGCACATCGATCTTGAAGATAATGGAACGAATCATGAGGGAGTTGATTAACAAGCAAGAATTAATCATTTCAACTCACTAATTCCAATCACAGTTCATGGAATCAAAACAACCATTCCAATAATCCGATATCAATCAGAGCATCAACAGAAACATCCATTTCCGAAATCGCTATTGAATGCACCATTTGCTAATCCAAACACACAAAAAGAATAAAAAGAGAAACAAATAAATACCGCTTCCGACTCTTCTCCGCAATGCTAACAAGCCTCCGTTGCTTAACAAGAAAGCAAAGAAACTCGAAACGAACACGATACGATTCAACCCGATCGAATTGAAAAGAGATTGAAGAAAGAACCTG